ATAAAGTCATGCATCACCCTCAAACAAACACACCAAACTCACAGATGAGTAATGTTGATTATATCTGTCTTCCTGCATGCCATTGCATCACTGCTGACACCAAAGCTCCTAAAAGCTTTCCACTTTCTTTACTGCATACATTGTGCATATGGATGATACAGTGCCTGGAGTGATTTGATAACCTTTTCTATTTTCATGACCTACTACATTTCAGGATGGGCTGGCGTGACATATTTTCACAACACATGCAAGATGCATTGATAGTAGTGAAGTATAGGTACTCGCTTGTGCACACACACAAATCCATGCACACCGGAGCACACATACACTAAAAGCTTTCTACTACATCCTTGGTGGTGCCGTCAGCGTGACTAAGTGTGCGCCATCTCACACTATTCTCCAGATAGAGCCATGATTTCCCTTGGCTTCACACACTCGACTCCCAATCACTCCACACATGTCAGTGCTAATAGCATCTGCTTTGACGCACATGCACATGCAAACACACACCCACACCCACCTGTAGATGCTTCAAACAGGCACACATATTTGGAGGCAATCATATACCTTCCTACACACAAACACACTGGAGGGCTGTGATTCTCCCTTACACCAGCAATATGCTGCTGTGGCAGCGCATGTGGGTTTGTGGGCGACTGCGAGAGGAGAGCAGTGGTGTTACCTAAAACAAGGCAGACTGGCCAGGGGCCAAATGAGGGAGAGGGAGGCGAGGGAGAAACAGTGACAGAAAGAAGGTGGGAAGGATGATGTTTATGTGGCTGCATGCAAAACAGAGAAATTGTGTGAAAAGAAAAGTGACAGAAGGGGAGGACAGCAGCAGGGAGGGAGTGGGGGGAGTATTTGCATGTTGAAAAAAACTGAAATTTCCGAGGGTATATAAAAGAAAGGGTTGGTGGGCATTTAAAATGAAGCTTGGCTGAGTGCTTGACATTGCAGCCTTTTAATTTCCTCTTTAAAACGTTGCTGTCAGTGTTTGGCATACAGTCAGAATATGTGAGCTGAACTATTTGTTGAATATTTGCCTGTCTCTGTGTGTGTGAAAACTCTGAAGTTCAAATAAGTTTGTGGGTGTTGATGTGATTTAATGCATTTGTGTGTGCATGCACACATGCAGAAGCTCGCCTCTGGATTTAGCAAAGCAATCGGGTGTAAATACAGCAGGAGTGGAGTCAGCAGCAGGGGCAGGGGTGATACACACATCGCACAGGAAAATAGTTAGACAGTGCCTTAAGGAGCTTAGATGGGGGAAAGTAAAATACATGAGGGGTTGGGGGGGTGAAGGAAGAAACGGTGGGGATAAAGGGAGAGACGCAGAGCTGGAGGGACTGAAGGAAATGGAGAGAGGGTAGAGAGCGAACGGGAGGAGAGGAGAAGAGAGGGGTTGTCAGTATGGTATGACTTGCCTCTTTCAAAAACAGGAATTAATCCAATAATCGCTTGGAAAATGCTTTGCATATTTCTTCATTTTTTCTCATGCACATAACCGACTATCATCTGGTACAAGTATGCTTGAGACCTGTCAAGACCTTGGAGTCACACACAGAGAACAACACATCCCATGGCTGTGGTTATTGCCAATGAGATGCAACCAGAGTTGAAGAACCAGAGTCTTAAGTTTATCTGCTGCTTATTTTAAGTGCTGCTCAGTGTCACAAATGTCAGTCCCCTTGCTATAGGCTTTCCTGCTCAGCACTCAATGCTAAATAACACACACTTCAAACCTTTAAGAGCCTCAGTCAGTAAATGAACTGCCAGTTATGGAGAACAGAGGAGAAAGACGTCTTATCCCAGAGAAGTGATCCATTTATCATCGTTTCTCCAAATTTCCTTCAGCCTATGAACAGTTTTTCCTCATCTTGCCACCTGTCTCATCATCTTAAGGTTTCTGCCTTAACACTTATTTAGTCAGGTGTCTTTTTTTTAATCAAGAAATGTGTGCTCTTAGGGTTCTTGGGAGAAAGTGAGTGAAACACAGACACAAACGGTAGCAGATGTACACAAGGCACACAGGCTGCAGAGTCTCATGGTACTCCCCAAAGGCCCTTTAACACAGATGGAAACATAAAGAAAAACAAAAGAAAATCTTGAATCTAAAAAGGGACAAAATAAATAGATTTCATCTGATGGCAACACTCTAATCAACTAACTATTCTCACCTCTGGTTGCTGTAGAAAACCTCAATTTACCTATACAGCACCATGTTCATTACTTCTTCAAAACCTGTCTTTGCAAATGAATCTGAATGTATTTTGAACTCCTGAACCATCAGCATTTGGTGTTAACACTTCCATCTTCCAGCCTTACAGCATCGCTTAAAACTAAAAAGCCTGTGCCAAGAGCACAAATAACACTTCAGCTTTTTACACCCAGCCTCTGATAGGGCATGCCGCTACAAAATAAGACTCTAATGAGCCATAGACACTTTCTAAAGCGGCAGGTGATGAAACATTCACTGCTACAGCTAAATGTATCTTAGCAGGAAAAGGTTTCCGTGATTCTAATTGTGTGAAAACAAACACGAATCTAAAGTGTGACGCAATTAAGCTGCAGTCTTTTAAGAGTATCAAAGTAAAACACTATACCCAAGGTCTGACAATTACAAGACAAAAATGTCTTTACTGAAGAACAGCAAGCTCTTTCCAGCCGCTACCTGCAGAATTAGCTCTCTTCCCTGCGATTTTAGTTGAGGTACATTCTGTCTTTAACACGGCTGGTTACTTGTTGGCCTTTTCTCTCCTGAAATATCTACCTTCCTAGCCCAAGGGGAAGCTTACCTTTCCCTTAATGTGTGAGGAATCATTTTGTGACAGAGTTGCTCCCAGCGTACACAGCAGACAGAGGAAATAATGGGAAGGGTAATTCAAAGGTCAAAGTTCACATGGAGTGAGGCAGGGGTCAAGCAGAGGAAACTGATTCGAATTATTTAGCTAAGTGTCCAATTGAGAATGGCATTGGTTAAAAACAGCGTTAATACAAAGACAGAGAAACAGAGAGTGTATTGGAAGACAAACCCTATTTTTGACATCTTCCATGATAGGATATTCATACATTGGGCTTCCTCTCCTCCTCTTGCCATGAGTGAGAAGAAGATTATAAGTTAGCTGCCACTGCGGCTGGTGAGCAGAGCTGGAGTCTGGACCGGGTTGGTTTCCTCCCAGATTTGGGGATTGGGGATTTCAAAGTCAAGCAAGTTCAAAGGCTTGACTGGGGAACGTTCAAAAGAACCACAGCCAGCCATGAAGTAAAGAGAAGAAAGGAGGGGGAGAGCTAGCTATAGCTACTTAGAGTAAACTCTCCCACAGTATGAGGAGAATGCACTGCCAGACAGCGGTGTAAAGAGTAAATGCTAGTGAAAAGAAACACCTCGCTCCAGTGGGTTCAGTCTGTGCGAGGTGCTGAAAAGGTGGAATTTTGCTAAAATGTTGGTGCAAATCTGAAAGTGTGTGCCAACGTTTTGGTAGCATAAAACATTCATTATACAGAATGTGAGATGACATTTTCACTGAATCAGAACATCAGATGGGATTTTGCTCTACTTTCAATGTTAACAATGTCATGTTTCTCACATGCACAAACAAGCCTGAATGTGAGACCATTACATCTACTTCTGCTTTGAAAAAGAACATCAACCTTTAAACACGCATCTAAAGGACTTAAAGTGCCATGGTAGTGCTTTCTCTACTTTTGTCTGTGTGCTACACAATACCATTCATTGACACCATAGCAATCAAACCAATACCCTTGCAGTCTGGGACAGAATATATCCCTGGAATTTACACAAACTAGATGACTTTGCAGATTTACAGTATCAAAGGATCATATCTTTGACTAGGATATTTCCTTTTTAAAAAGTAAAAAAATCCATCAAATGATCCACAACATCAAACGGCATATGTGATGTTATATTATATTTTCAGTTAACTGTTAAGCAATTTCCCCTAAACACCGGAAATATACCATAGCCTGGAAGCCAATTTCAATTCATGTGTATTTGCCGTTTGTGAAAACACTATAAAAAAACAAAGAGAATCAAGAAGTGTTTGCTGTTATTACTGATATGTAGTATTTTCCCCCAGTATACCAGTTAGCATTATTCTGTTGATTGGTTAATTTTAGCAATAGGGATGTTAATTTGCAAAGTGATCATCATAAGGCCAAACCAAATTACAGAGTACAATTGGGTTCCCAGATTCCCATCCTGAACGAGTCTGTGAGAGTGGAATATTACTCTCAGAACCATTACAGACATTTTACTTATGCTAGTGTAAAATGTGTTGCGCTGCAAACACTGTAAACATGTTTTTATTTTGTAAATACACTAAAGACAGACACAATTGAGGTAAAGTTTTTTGGCCAGCTGATGCGGCTGGCTGCTTTAGGTCTTTAGTGGGGGAATTAGCTCCAGCTAGTGCCCCTCTCTGTTGTTTTTCAGCCTGATTCAGCAGTCCTGGACTTTACGCAGAGCCTCTGAAAGCTCAGTGGCCACGGGGAATGCCAGCTCATCGACTATTATAATGACGTCCTCCCTATTGCTCTCCGTCTCTCTCTGCCCTTCTCACCAGCGCACCATCCCAATTGTCTCTGTCACTCTTTCTGTTTGCCATCTGTCTTTCTGTCCTTATTGCTGAACAAAGGCTGGCGTGAGTGTGTATGATGCAATTGTGGCAGTGCTGAAAGTTCACAGTCAATAGAAATGCACTGAATGAACATCCCCATGGTAGGAATGGACTAAAGACTTTGCTCTTGGCAAACTGTAAACATAGATATCATACTGAATGCTGCAGGCTATAAAGGAGAATAAGCTCCAAGCTCAACTGTGTCTCAACTCTTTTTCTATCAAACGTTGTGCCAGATGGTGACTTACCTTGCTTCAGTCATAATAAAGTCAAACAACATCAAATAGGAGCAGTACACAGAAATGCTTGCCGATTTGACATTATCACACGCTTTGTAAACTGGAAACGGCACAGAGGACTAACCTTAAGCTTATCGAATCGCTCGGTGAGCGAGGACACCTGGTGCTCCCGGTGGCGCCCCACCAGCTTGCAGAGGGCACAAATGAGCTGGTCGTCCACCAAGCAGTACATGTTGACCTTCTCGTTCTCGTGCTCCAGGCAGGTCAGGCCGCGGAGGTGTGTGTCCAGCACCGGCTCCACCAGGCGATGGCTGGTGAACGGCTTCTTATTGGGGTGCGTTGCGCGGAGGCAGCGGTCGCAGTACGACACCTCACATGTGACACACGTCTTCACGGCCTCACGCGGCGGATCCTGCTCACAGAACTGGCAGCTGATGCGTGGATCCATTTTCGCAACGACAGCCGGGCTGTGGTTTGCGTTGGTGTGGTTGGCGTGATTAGCGTGGTTGGTGTGGTTGGCGTGCGGGTGGGAGTGGCTGGAAGTGGCCGGGCTGCTGCGGGCGCTGCTTCCACTCGTTCCACCACCCCCGCCGCCAATCGTTCCAGCTATCGTCCCGCTAATGGTGGCGGTGTAGGGACGCTGCGGCGGCTGCAGGCGCCGGCTCTCAGTGGGAGAATTAGGGCTGCTGATGGAGGCCTTTTGAAAGCGGTCAATGATGTTCTGCAGCGTCACATTGCGCTTAAGGCCCTCCAGGCCGCGGTGATTCAGCGTGATGACGTAACGACAGGTGGGGCACTGAAAGGCCGATATGGACTCGAGGGGCTTGCTGGTGGAGCAGTGAGACACCAGGATGCGGTGGGCGCAGTTAAAACACAGGCTGTGGGCGCAGGGCAAGAGAAGGGGGTCTTCAAACAACTCAAGGCAGATCGGGCAGGTCAGCTCAGACTCCAGTGTTTCCATCTTCAGTGAAACCAATCTAGAGGTGACATCAAAACCCACGAAAGCTGGCGAATTACCTGCATAAAGGAAAAAAACATGTATCAGTTTATAAAGTTACACACTTGACAGATCTCTTATTACAGTAACAAAACTGTACTTTCGTTCATGGATTATTTGTTATTAAATAGAACAGCAGGAAGTATACACAACACAATTTGTCCATTCACACCTTTCTGAATTTAACTCAACCAGTCAAGAGATAACTTTGCAGATTCAGCAAAAACCTTACTTACACTTTTTTTTTTAACAATTATATATCAGCCGCTCAGCTTGCAAAACTGAGGACTGAAAATCCAGGGACTCACGAACAGGGAGGAAAAACATAAAGGCACGTTGAAAATCATTCTCCAGCTCAACACTGACTTTGTTTATTTTATGTGGCCTCTATAGCTTGGCTTTTCAAGCACTCAACACTTAACTCCAAGGGCATTTCAACTTTTAAAGCATGATCCCAACAACAATTTCAACTGGGGCAGTGAAAAAAGGGCCTGAGCTAAACAAGAAGATTGATTTCACCTCCACCTCTTTCTCCAAGCCCTCCCAATCTCATCACCTTGTAGGCTGCATATCAAGCTGTCTCCCCTGGGTGGCCTTAAAACCACTGACATGAGAAATCACCAATAACCCCTCCGCCCCACACACTCTCTGATTCAGTGGCATGGCAGCGCAGCTTGCATTGGCCCTCTATCCTTTAAAGAAACAAAGCAGGCACCGTGAAACGACGGTATTAAAGTGGGCAGCCCCAGATAGCTGACACTGACAATTTCATTAGTTGAGGGTGTTCCTGAAATACTGACCTTGTCTGTCTCTGAGCCAGTCATGCAGGATTGACTGATGACTGGCTGTTACAGGTTGTGAGTAATCAAAAAGTGATTTTCACCTTTAGGACAGGGTTTCAACTTCTGCCAGTAAACTCTTAATATGAGGTCATTGTGTAGATACAAATGATATTAAACTTGCAGCGGTAAGTTAAAAACGTGTAATCAAGTAAAGTGAAGCAAATACAAGGACACAAGTACAATTTCAAAGTGTGGAAGTGCTGATCATGACAAATGTTAGCTTGAGTGTCAACAAGCTGATGTATTCATTAACTGTTTTTAAATGACAAAAAAAAGCCTTACATTCCAGTAGCTGAATTATGATTTATTTATTTTTCCCCTTGAAAGATAACAAAAGACTTAAGTTGATCAAAAATATCGGCCGAATGGAAATGTGTTTAGCCTGTGAGCTAAGATTTTCAACATCTTAACTACACTGTATGTACGTATGACTAATAAAAGCCTTGAACCATAAAAGCCTTGAACCTATGAGTTGGTCCTTCTATTAAATGCACTGTATGTAACTACTCATATCATTTAGCTCTTCAATTCCCATCCAATTTCTAACGACTACATTTTCGTGACCTTATGCTCACTTGTTAGTGTGGATTTAGGTGCATTGATAACTTCCCATGATCTCTATGAGCATTTAAATACAAGCTGTTGACAGAACTATATGAAGACAGAAACAGAGCTTAAAGGCTCAAACTCATTTGCACAAACCAAAGTCTTCTCCCTTCTGCCGCACCACAAACAGGGCCTCAACACCGAGCTGCGTTCAAAGCAAACATGATTTGTACAGCAGCTAAGTGCTTGGAAAGGCAGCCAACTGAAGAAAGTAGTTACATGCATGCAGTGGCTCCTTTACAAAATGCATCATCTGAAAAAGGAAACAAATAACTTCTCACAGCCTATCATGAAGATTTTAACCTGATAAAACGCAATGGGCATTGTGTGTTTGTGTGTGGCTCTATACGAGTATATATTTGTAGGTGTTTGTCGATGAAAGAGCTGGGTTTTGTCTGCACATAATTTACTCCACTACTAATTACATTGGCTGCTATTTATCAGATGCTTTACGTTGTTGTTGTCGCACAGCCTGGCTGTGTCAGGGATAAAGAGAGATACAGAGTCAGAGGCGAGCCACCACAGAGCGAGCAAGCATGAGGTTCTGCTTCATCACGCCAACAATAGGTCTTATTTATCTCCACCGTATCAGATAGTTGATAACGAGGAGCAGACGAATGGAAATAACCAGATAAACAGGATGTGGGGGAGGTGATAAGGGGCACAAGGACGACCTTAATGACCTTTTGATGACAAGCAAGGCCACGCGCCGCTGAGGCTTAGCACCTTAGGTTATGACATATTTCACATAAACCTCTAGCCCTTACACTTTATTTAAGGTTTTCATTTCATTCAATCTGCAGCCCGTTTCACAATGGATACTTTTCAATAGCCACAAAGACTACTAACACAGATTTCTGTAGCTTCTACTACTATTTAAAATCATCTGTAAGATTAAACAAGTAAATTAGGTAGAACATTTTAAAGACAGTACATTTTTTCACAAAAAATGAATTCCCTGTCAAAGATCAGCTTTAGGTTAGCGCCATATGAATGTGGGGTCAGTGGGAAAAATGTCAACAAAAGGAAACATGACACACTCTCAGGATACACATTGATAAAAGATCATCAGGTCATTTACAAGAATGTGAACTCTTGTCTGGAATCACGTAAAGCCTATAAACAAAACAATTACGTTTGTCACAGTAGCATGAAAGACAAGGAATACAATTCAAGTCAATCCAAACGTACTTATTGCACTTCAGAAATACTTTTTCTACCAATCCTTCCTCTTTGTTTATCAGTATTTGACAAATACAACAAGGAAAGTCCCACTTAAACCGTTTTTCATAAACCACATGTCATTTAAGCATATATGCTGTGGGGTTATACATCCATCAAGAGAGCAGAATAATAATAAGTAAACAAATAGAGACACCTCAACAGAATTACACCCTTCAATATTAAGCATATACAGACGAGTTCATGACCCTTATCCCTGATTTGTTCAAATGCAGACTGAATCAGCTGTCTCACTTTACTCCCCGGGACAGAGCTCAACAGTTCGGCTTCTGCTGATGTTAATGTGACTGTGTGTAATGGAGCGTGGTGTTATAATTAACACCACGCTTTAACACACCATCAGCAGGCCTATTAAGCTTTAGCTATGTCACTCTGGGGAGACAACGGCGGCTGAGCCACTTGGGGTGTAAAACGCTAGCTTCAATGTGAAGGAGTTTCTTCTGCAGACAGGCTGGAACAGACACACACACTCAGACATTCACAAAAAAAGAATACACACACAGCCAGAGCTGCACATGTACAAGCAAAAACTCTCTCAGTCTCCTTGTCTCTCTTTATCATTCTTGCGAAGGTGAAATGTCCCATCTGGATGGAGAGCAGATTGGGCGGTTGCTCGAGGAACACACACACAGTCACACACAAACCCAAGCAGAGACACAAATGGACACACACACATAAGACTGCTCGGCACTCACTCTGATCTTTTGTTGTGCTGATTAATGTAGAAACATTTGTAGGTCTCACTCAGAGCTTTTTTTGCCAAACCAATGAAAAGAAAAACAGGGACATCAGTGATGAATCATAAGTGTGTCTGAGGTGCACACACACATACACAAACTCACACTTCAGTGAATTCTAATCTGCTTATGCTTTTTGTCTGACATCAGGTGCAAATCCACATTCATAGGCAGAAAGCCATTTCAGCAAATGGCTTTGATGACAGTAAATACATTCAAATGTAGCACACTGATTAAGTGGTTTGTCTCACTCGGTAGGCTCCTTTATTTGAAAAGTAAATAATCCTTTTTCTTCTTTTAAAGATACCCGAGTTTAAGGGCTGTCAGTATATTCAAAATGTGAAGATATATGTGAATTGTAAAAGAAAAAGCAGACATTATATTTGTTTGGGACCCTGCTATTTCCAGGATCTATAAAAGTGTTCATTCCAAAAGTTATATCGCTGATGCTTGAAATGTTTGTTTTATATACAAGACTTAAATGTGCCGTGGAGAGCAATGAGCAGTGACACTAAGTAACTCAGATCCTTAGCAATACATCCACCAAATGTGAAGTTGATCTGATTAATCACTGTTAGATTAGATAAGTGCGGCAGCAGTAATGAATTCCTCTACCAGTGTATGATACTTGACTCAAAAGAAAAACACTAATGTCACAGTTTGTGCCATTTCATAATCTTGCAAACATGGAGACAATAAAAGAGGCAGTCTCCTGGGTTTATTCTTGCATGTGTGTGACTTCACTTTGTTGACGCAAGCATTAGTAAAAGAAAAGGCATTTATGGAACAAAGATGATTATCCTTGTATAAACAGTCCACTTGTCAAAACCAAATGAATCCCCTCTGAATTATAATCGCACAGCTGCAGAGTCAACACAAGAGTTTAATGGACATTTGATGATAGTGGGATAAACAAATAACCCTACCTCGACTCTCAACCAAGGACACAAGTGCACTCGCATTGCAGCAGTTACTTTTAAATGTACAGGAGCCTTGTCAAGAGCACAACAGTTCCATTTTGTTATGTTTCTGTTCAGTAATGACGCTGACTGTATTTGCCCTTTGTATAATCTGAAATCAGTATTTAATGTACCTTTTCATGTGTTAAAGAGCTCAAAAGCTTTATTAAAAAATCCCATTTCCAATACATGTGGTTTATATACAGAACAGTATGTCCTGATCAAGTGTATTATGACTCACTACCAAAAAGGCTCTATTCCTATAGGATCATGAACATCAAATGTAATCTAATATAAACTAATCCAATCCACACAACAACAAAAAACACACAGAAAAATATTTTCCTTTTATCCCTTAAACTGAAAATGTGAAACATGTTATGTGCCGATACTGACTGGACACAAGCAATACATTCGACTTTCTTTTCTCAAAACATTTCACTTCAAAGGACATGCTGAGGTGCAACCAGAGCCAGATGTTAGGCATCTATCAAAGAGACGTGTTCCCTGGGTGGAAAGCAGAATAAGTGATTACTTCCAGGAATGGTTATGCTTCAGTCAGCGCAAGGTGTATTAACAAAGCACATGCCTGCCTCCACACACACACACACACACACACACACACACACACACA